ATTGATAATTACGAGTACGAGGTACACGATGGTAACAGCAAGGTGCGTGTCAACCTAAACAGTAAGAGTTGTACGTGTAAGCAGTTTGACTACTTTCAGATCCCATGCTCCCACGCTGTCGCTGCCGCCATGCATCGTAATGTTAGTATATACGCGCTGTGTTCGCCCAAGTATAAATTAGAAACGCTTCTTAACGCGTACGCCGAGCCAATCTACCCATTGGGTGATGAGGAGGACTGGCCTTTACCCGTCAACTTTGTTGAGTACACCATCGAGCCTTCGAAGTTCGTTGCAAGAGTTGGTAGACGGCAAACAATAGGAATACCATCAACAAGCGAGCCTCAACAGATACATAAATGCAGCAGGTTTGGAATGCAAGGTCACAATAGGAAAACTTGCCGCCAACCATTACGAACAACTGAGTCTTAGTTCGATGTATGATTTACTTATATYCATGTATTTTCTTTTTTGTGTATTGGAATCTGATCATCATATATTCGGGCGAAATGTTAACGAGATGTTGCCATGAATGCAGTTCTCGGGCGGRATAATGATATTCTTGCYCGTGAAATAGTGCAGAGACCAGCGCACTAGTGGTTGAAAACTTTTTCGGGTGAAATGGCCGTATTCTCGCCCGAGAAATATTTCAGTGACTTCATTTRCACTGATTGAAATATTTCTTGCCCGTGAATAGCCCGATTTCGCCCGTGGAATGTTTYAGTGATTTCCATACTTTGTTCATTTGGGTGGAATATGAATGGTCAATGTTGTATTGATTCGTTTTATGTATCAAATTGCTTTTTTAACATATTTGTCTTATACRAAGCAAGATAAGTAGTTTGTAAGAGCTAGGTAATAAAATAATRGCATAGTACTAATAAGCGAATTAGATTCAAAATATAGATCGGTTTGCCCACATTTCTATGGYCAATTTCTCCMTAAAGAAACTAATGTTGTCCTGAGTTAAGCTRGTCATATTTGACCCTGTTACATCATACTCTAAATATTTAACGCAAAACATCCCACAGTCACCAGACCCGYTTTGCTGGGGCGYGAAYGTTACTTGACGAATGCTCCATGGCGTATTCGGTAGTGTCGGTCTYAGTACCTGAACACCGGCCCTGTGCATCAATGCAGGTAGGACAACAGCCATCGGCCTCAACTCGGACTCCAGAGCTGGAAAGTGTGTCATCAACCTCATCGAATCCCACACAATGATCTCACCCTCCTGCAGATCGATATGTAGCATAATCCAATGGTTGCCACCGATGTTGTATGGCAGGTAAACAGCATCCAGATCAAGCCATCGTGTCTGATAGTC